TTATAGAGAATTTTGAGTCTATTGAACAACTTTGGATACTATTCAAAACAAATAATGTAAAATATGGATTAGGTGTAGTTTACAGGCCTCCTAATAACACCAATGACATTTACCAGTCTTTTCTCAATCATTTTGAAAATGCCTTAATTCATGTTTACCCGGAAGTAGATAATAATAATAATACGTTTATTGCTTATAAACCTAAGTTACAGCAAGAGTTAGGGTTTTATAATATATACAAAAAAAAAAAAAAATAATAAATTCAAAACAAAATTGTAATAAACAAAAGTAACAACAGGTCCAGTAGTATCTAATGCTCACTAATGCTGATCGTAGGGCGACCATAAAGAAATTTATGCGATATAAATAAAAAAAAAATATTAAAAATAAAAAAAAAAATCAGTTACATATTGACCAGCACCCGTGAACCCTATTACTAAAAGTTTACTTAATTATAATTTATTCATTTAAAATAAATGATCTTAATTTTAAAACATTGCATATATAAGAAAATATACACCATGCATCTGGTTCGGTTATATTTTCTAATGCATAGATTAAAGCCTCCAGATCGTTTAAACAATTTGTTTTCGGTTTCATAACATTATATATTGGACAATCGAACAAGATATGTGTAAGAGATTCATTTACATCTGTGTTATATACCGTGCAAACATTATTGGGATCTATTACATATATATTATTATTAAGTGTAAATTTTAACCAAAATTTATTAGTTAATCGGAGTTGTGCAAGTGTTCGTGTAACTTGTATGGGCAGTTTTAGAAGTAAATATTTTTGGGGAATTTTATCAGTGGAAAAAGCTGTATATAAGGACAAAAACTGACAGCGTGTAATTCCTATAATATCAAAATTGTAAAGTTTATTGTAATAAGCAGTTAGTAACTTGTTTTTGTTTAGTTTTAGGTTATTAGCATCAAGATTATTCCATATGTCTTCATGGTCAATTAATTTAAATAAGTGTCTAACTTGAGCAGCCCAATTATATTTTACTTCTCCAGAGTTAATTAGATGAAGCTGTCTATTAAAACAAAGCTTTGGATATCGATTATCATTTATAATTAAGATTTTATGCAGGCAGTTTAAAGTCATTTTGAATATATTATAGGAATATTTAACTCTGCCAGTTTCTAGTCTTATTGCGCAGTCAGGTGTATTGATAGGCACCAATAGCATCCTCTTCAGAAAAGTTATTTGAACAATTTCTAACACCTCCAAATACCTTAGACTCCACACAGGGGCACAATTAGACATTATGCTAAGAGCTAAGGATTCAAACAACTTTATCCGAGGATACCATGTGTCTATTTTAGCTTTGGCCATAACCGGCAAAATTGCTCCTATGGCTTGCTTACCCTTATCTGAAGCTGATAACGACATTTCGTAAAACAAGCCAGAAGATGTAAATGTGACTCCTAAATATGTATATTTATTTGTAAAATTTAGATGTTGACCGTTAAATTTGAAAGGGTAGTTATTTTTTTGAAAACCTCCTCCAGAAAATGACATGATTTTAGTTTTTTGGATGTTGACGGTAAGGTCATTTAAAGAGGTATATTTTTCTAAAATTTTGTAAGTTTTTTTGTAACATCAATCTCAGAGTGTGCTAGGATTACCATATCGTCGGCATAAAGTAGTGTGAGAACATCATGGATATCATCAATATTCACACCCTGGGCTCCTTCGGAAGTAGATAAAATGTTGTGTCTTGGCGATTTTAATGTCGATAATTTAAAACTTCAATCTCAAAATCTTAATGATCTAATATCTGTTACAGATACGTTACAGTTAAATCAAATTGTCTCTGATCCTACTCATTTTTCTAATAATAGCATGACTCTAATAGATCATATCTATACAAACTTCGATGTGGACTGTTGCGATGTAACTGATGTAAACATAGGTAGACACTTCCTGGTTTGGTGTAAATTTAGAACGTCTTTAGAGAAAGCGTCTCCAAAAAATGTAACTTTTAGGAAACTCTATGATATAGATTTAAATATTTTCCAACGTGCGCTGGATACACAAGACTGGAGACAAATTCTGTACATTGATAATATTGATGCTAAATTAGGCTATTTTAATGAAACAATTTTAAATTTAGTTAACGAGTTTGCACCTCTTCAAACTCGCACTATTTTACACAACATTAAAAAACAACCCTGGATTACAGACAATATCAAACTAGTACCCGAGAATAACCAAACGCCAAGAAGCGACAAAGACCCTTTCCCGCCGGGTCGGTTTTCGAAGGCGCATGATCGAAAATATGGTGTCTATTTGCATGTGGCCAACTAAATCAGCGACACCATATATATCCATATACGAAGGTGTCCTGTGATTTTAATCCGAGCGCAACAACTCTAGTTTCGACTATTTTGAATTATTTCTTTCAGTTATTACTGTGTGATTTTTATTGTGTTTTCTGGATAATTTCGTAACAAAATGGTTGGATCCTATTATGTAGTTCATGAATTTGATTCCAAAAATGGCAGCGGAATGAGTCTTTCTGCAGTCAAAGGCATATAATTTTAAATGCAAAATAAAAAATGTACTCCCTAAAAACATATTTAGAGTTGAGCAGTGTAAATTACAAATTTCCGCGCGATCGCGAGGCGAGCCTGCGAGCCAATTCAGCTTGCGTGCAGTGTAATTATGGTGTCTTCAAGGTCACCGCAAATCGATCCCACAAACATCAAACGTTCCGACAAAGCTGTCGCTTCTCGGCGTTTTGTTATTCTCGGCTACTACAAAAACTCAGAGATAAGGCTTTAAGAAAGTATCGTAAATCTAAACTGCCTGCTCACTGGGAGTACTATAAGGAACTCAGAAATTTCACTTCTGCTTCTATTAAGAGAGAAAAAAAGCATACTTGCAATACAGATTATCCCGCTGCAATTCTAAAGAGAAATGGTGTGAACTACATAGATTTAATATTAAAGCTAATAAAAACCGTGATTTACCTTCAAATTTGAGCGACGTAAACAAATTAAATAATTTTTCTATTGGTGATCCTACTATTACTGATCTTGATATGAACACCTTTCAATGCTATAACAACAATATTTGCCATAAAGTGCGTGAAGAATTTCAATTCACCAATTTCAATAAAGACTAAATTTTGGAAATTATAAAAACAACTAAATCTAAGACTTACGGAAGTGATAATTTAAATATTGATATCATATTAATTTGTTGTCCGTTTATTTTAAAGTATATTTCACATATATTTAACGAATGTATAAACGTTGGTTACTTCCCACTGCTTGGAAGCATGCATATGTCATTCCTCTACCTAAAGTCTCCCAACCGCTACAATTAAATCAACCAAGAAGTATAAGCATTCTCCCGGTCCTTTCCAAAATTTTTGAAAAACTCTTAGAAAAACAACTAAATTTGCATATAAAAAAATTCGATATTCTTCCCAAAACTCAATCAGGATTTAGAAGTGGATATGGGTGTTCAACCGCTTTAGCCGATGTTACCGATGACATATTGCGCTCACTTGATGCAAATAAAGTATGCACATTAATACTAATTGATTATTCACGTGCATTTGACACATTGAACCACAAACTTCTATTAGCAATTTTGCATTTGATTCGTCTCAGCCATTTGTCGATCAAAATTATAACTTCGTATCTAACAAACTGGGTTCAACACGTGGTTCTTAACAACACTTTCTCTAATTGTTTGTTAGTCAGAAAAGGTGTTCCTCAGGGCAGCATTCTTGGCCCATTACTGTACACCTTATATACATCCTTCCTACATTCACATCTAAATCATTGTAAGAACCATTTATAAGCTGATGATACACAAATTTATTATTCTTTTTAACTGTCTAAAATTGAAGATTCGGTCAGGCGTATTAATGACGATCTCTCTATTCTTGTAAGTGCATCTGAAAAGCACTCATTGCATATCAACTCAACAAAATGTTATGTTATTGTATTTTGCAGTAAAAATAACCGACAGCTGATCTTGCCACAAATACAAATCACCTTAGGGAATTAAATTTTAAAAATTAGTTCCTCGTGTAAAAATCTTGATTTGACTATTAACTCTCAATTAAGGTTCGTAAAATATATTAACGAGAAGGTTAGGAAAGCCTACTCTTCCCTAAAACTAATTTATCCACATAGAACAGATTTGTCTACTGCAACTAAACAAATGCTTACTGATTCTCTTGCTTTAACGCACTTTAATCATTGCGAGACGGTATATGGTTCTTTTTACGATTAATTGATAAGAATCGAATTCAGAAAGTACAAAATAGTTGTTTAAGGATGATCTATGGCATAAGGAGAAGGGAGACGATTTCATATAAATTAAAAGAGGCGAATTGGCTGAACATGTTTAATCGTCGGAAACTTCATTCTCTCTGTTTATTTTATAAAATAGTTAAGACCAAAATTCCCTCATACTTACATCAAAAGATAAGTTTTCGGACCGATGTCCATCATATTAATTTAAGGAAAAAGAATGCCATTACCATCTTCTTGATATACCAAATTTCAGTCTTTCATTAACAGCTTTTAAAAATAAATACAAACAAATTTTTTTACGCGAACAGACATTTTAAATTTTAAGTTTTTTTTTGTGATTTTTAATATTTATTAATATAGATTAAGGTTCCTTTCATTAATTAATTATTCTTTTAACTGTATTTTTAATTTATTCTAGACATGTATATGTATTTTGACTCTTTATTTTAATTATTCATTTTTTTCAAGGCGAGTGAGGTAGAATTGGTCTTATGACCTATCACTCGACCTTTTATTTGCCTAATTACTGTATTTAGTGTATTTTTGTTTTTTTTATATTTTGTATTTTTGTACATCCTTTATTGGAAAATAATAAACTATTATTATTATAACCACTGTTTCCATATTTTTAAATTTATTTAAAGTCAATATTTAATAGAAGCAAATCAACTTTATCTGGGTACATTATTCAAAGTAATATAGCCCCAGAAGAGAAAAAAAAAAAGAAGAAGAACAAGAAGGTTCAAAAGTTAAATTGATTAATTTAAGGAAATTTTCTTCTTCTTCAAACTTCGAGAGCCAATCTTGTTTGGGGCTGATAGTTTTAAACACGAATCTAATTATTAGAAAAAATATTTCAGCCTCTAAAGAACTAAAATATTACCTATAATTAAATAAAAAAAAAATAGTTTGGATTATTAATATATTTTCACCCTCACGTGGATAACTAAACTTCCATAACATGTGTCAGAAAAACTATGGCTTCTTTTAATATTTATCTAATAACACCAAACCAACTTAACAAGATGTATTATTAAAATTGAAGTACAGTTTTATTTTTTTCTTCACGATACAATACAATCTAGTACGAGTAATGTAGTATATTTTGCTATTAAAGCATGTTTAAAAAAAATAGTAAAACATATTAGGTATAAAATTATCTATGAATTTTTCACAAACCGTTGAACAGGTGGATCTGGAACTAAAAGAAAGAACAAAATATTAATAAAAATTTAAAATTATAAAATATTTAATATTAAATTGAAGGCTAGTACTAATTAAATTAAGCATCGGGCGGGCGCGCTATAGGTACTGTGTGCCGCCATTTCAACAATTTACAGATTCCGCAAAAATTGTTAATTGCAGCTCGTTGTCCGTTTAGCTATGCCCAAATGACTACATTAGGCAACCTATTATGCCAAAACAAAGGCGAATTATATTTTCTTCAGTTGTCATTGGGACGTTGAAGTAATATGTGTTGAGTTTACGGCATTCCATGCCGCATCGGGTCCCATCATGTAGTTAAATTAATTCTGGTTTTATTACACTACTCAAAACAATTATCGCATATTTTTAAAAAGTGCTTATTTATTTTGCATTTACCAGGATTAGGACGTCTTGAAATGGGCCTAGTCTTTTCTTGTCCTAGCACTCTACTTATTGACGATTGGGTAACTTTTAAAATCTACGCAATTCGATTGTATCCTTTAGTAAGTGAGTGATTGTCGAGGGATTGTCTACAAACCCGACAAAAACCTCTGTTGTTGCATTCACAAGAAAAAGGAACCTTCAAGGAATGAAGGAGTTCTATATGTGGGGACAACATCTAAAATTGGAAAAAGAGGTTAAATATGTTGGAATCACTCTTGATGATAAGCTTAGCTTCTGCAGCCATATAGTAAAAACAACAGAAAAAGCTGTAAGAATAATATGGGCCTGTAGACGGATGGTAGGGAACGTATGGGGGCTTAAACCAAGCATGATGAACTGGTTTTACACTATGGTTGTAGTACCTGTTATAACTTACTCATCAGTAATATGGTGGCACAAGACTAAAAGCAAAACAGCTAACAGAAAATTAGACAAGGTGCAAATACTAGCCTGTCTAATAATAACAGAGCCATTTATAACTACGCCCACAGTAGCAATATAGCTACTGCTAGGTCTTTCTCCACTACACCTTGTGGTGAAGAAGAAGGCTATGGCGGCTGTTTACTAATGGATTTGGATGGGAACTTTCGAGACAAGTATTAGAAATTAAAAATTTAAAAAAACCGACTTCAAAAACGTGCAGATACCATCACCACATCTCAATTAAATTTATATGGAACCACCCCTGAGGTACCCTCTCACTAACAAAAAAAGAATCATATAAATCGGACAAGGTGGTAAAGCATTATCGCTAAACATACTGTTACGCTGGTTTTTGATATCACAATCTATTTCAACTGAACTTTACAATAACTATAATTCAACTTTGACAATAACTTTACAACTGATAACATTCACGTATAATGTCTGTCATAAACTAAAACTGTGACGTCAGGTTGTCGACTTATATAGCTTGTTGACCTTCTCGAACCTTCTCGAAATGTCATCTAGAATGTTCTTGACGTGTAATGACATTTCTAGACATTTCTGGAATATTCTTTGTACTTTTACTTATGACGACCGCAGCACATTGTAGAACGATGATTAACATTTCACTTCTTCTTCTATCTGTACGTTTCCTATGATAGCCACAGGCTACTACAGGGTGCTGCGTAACATTGCTCCCTCCTCTCTAGTTATTCGCCACGAATACCTTGATTACTGGGATCTGGTTGGAGCCAACGGGGAGGATCTGAACCACGGTATGGCGCTAACTTCTCAATGTGAACTACCTTGGGTTTACTTCTCGTTGACAACTGAATGCGGTAGATCAGGTCGGTGATTTTCTTGAGGACGGTATAGGGGCCTTCCCAGTTCCGTTGCAGCTTCTGACAAAGTCCTTTTCGGCGCTTGGGATTGTACAGCCATACTGGATCGCCTCTCTCAAAATGTGTCCCTATGGCATGCATGTCGATTCTAGCTTTTGCTTTATCGCTATTAACTTTCAAACGTTGCCGAACGAATCCATAGACCTTTGTCCTACCATTGCATACATCACATCTTTTACACCAATCCGCTACATCTCGTCGGCAGTTGACCTAATAAAATCTTTCCCGAACTCGTGCCAATGTATCAAAGTGTCCTCCTGAACGGCTGCTATGAAGCTTCTTCAATACATTTCTCATCTGTGACCTCGGCAGTATCACTTGGCGGACTACATGTACTCTATCGGGGCTTTCCAACTTCCGGTGCAATAGACCATCGTGAAGATACAGGGAATCCCACTGGGTCCAGTAGCCTTTTATAGTTCTACTGTATTTGGCTATCTCTTGCCAAGTAGGTTTATTTTTCAGCCATTCTCGGACAACCTTTAAGTCATTGTCTTTCTTCTGTCCCTGTCTCAGACTTTCAAGGGTGATTTCTTCTTCGCCGCCCTCTAGCTTGATAATAGTTGCCCAAAGGGTAACTTTATCAACTGGTTCTTCCCGTTCTCCAAGCCCCTTACTGTACTGGCATTCTCGTTCTAAACAGGGTCGCCTGGAGAGAATGTCTGCATTGCTATACAGATGAACTCTACGATGCTCTACTTCCTGATTATTGCCAGGTGTGGGTGATTGGCTACTTCGGGATGCATGGCTGCTGTGACTATTTCTTGTTGGGCTTCGTGACGGGCTTCGGAAGATTGATCTTTGTGACTTTCCGACTTCATTCCCTGATTCTTTATTTATAGAACGAGCTCTGCTTCTACAAGTTCTTTGAAGGTGCCCGATTCTTCCGCAATTGAAGCATCTTCTGTTCTTATTTTGGTTATTTCCTTGTATATTTTGCAGGATATTTAATATTTGCGAGAGGGTAGGTTGGGGAATAGCATTATTATGGGTCTCCTCAGTTTCCTGGGATTTAATTTCTCTCATTTTTGCGCAAGAAGATCTGGATATGAGTTTTACCGCTTCATATTCCTGATCTGCAATCAGTTTCTCCTTCAGCGTCTTGTGATGTTGTAGACGAAGGACTTGCTGCATTTCCGCATCTTGTAGTCCATCAATGAATGCTTGTATTCCGAGTTGTTCTTGGAAATATTTCGGCACCCGTGGATAGGCGAGATGAACTAACCTTCTTATATCAGCCATGAATTCCTGTAGACTCTCATTATGTTTCTGACTACGAACCTTTAGCTGGCTTTGGAATACCCGTTGCAAATGCTGCTGACCATATCTTGTCTCCAACGCTTGGACGAGAGATGAATAACTGGGTTCCTCTTGAGGAAGTAACTGTAAAACGGTTGCTGCCTGACCTCGCAGTGACACTATTAATGAAGCCCGCCATCTCTTTCTCGGTCCATCCATTGGCTCTAGCTGCAGCTTCAAATTGGAGTCGATATGATTCCCATGTTGTCTGACCGTCAAACGTGGGTGGTTTCAGGGTCTTGCTAGTATAGTTTTGTGAAACTGGAATTCGAATGCGACTTGGTTCGGTTATGGATGAAGACGAGGTAGTAGTGTTTGCAGCTTCAATGCTGTTTGCTGAAGCTTGGCTGTACATTTTTTTTTCTAACTTAGCCATTTCGGCTCTAATTTGCCTTTCCAACTCTAGTCTAGCCTGTTCTTGTTGTTTTAAATTAGCTTTCAAATTATCTTGCTGTTTCTCTAAATTAGCTTTTAGATGCTCGTGTTGTTGCTATAGCAGATCTATTCTAATTTTAAGCTGACTAACCTCTTGCTTGAAGGTTTCTTGGATTTGCAGCAAACCATTCATAATTTCTACCTCAGCTTTTCTACGCCTCTCTTCCTTCTCCTTTTCTTCATCCATCATGCGTCTCTCCTTCTCCTCTTCTCGTCTTTCCTTTTCCTCCTCATCTTCCTTCCTACGCCTTTCCTTCTCCTCTTCTTGCCGTTCCTTTTCCACCTCTTCTTCCTTCCTACGCCGTTCCTTTTCCTCCTCTTCTTCCTTCCTACGCCGTTCCTCTTCCTCTTCTCGCCTTACTCTTTCCTCTTCCATCTTCAAAAACCATGCTGATGGGCCTGAAGTGTCCATGTCTGCTTCGTACTCTGAAGATCTAGTATTTACCATGAACTTTTACTTTATATCCCACTGCTATCACTAATGTTACGCTGGTTTTTGGTATCACAATTTATTTCAACTGAACTTTACAATAACTATAATTCAACTTTGACAATAACTTTACAACTGATAACATTCACGTATAACGTCTCTCCTAAACTAAAACTCTGACGTCAGGTCGTCGACTTATATAGCTTGTTGACCTTCTCGAACCTTCTCGAAATGTAATCTAGAATGTTCTTGACGTGTAATGACAATTCTGGACATTTCTGGAATATTCTGTCTTCTTTTACTTGTACTTTTACTTATGAGGACCGCAGCACATTGTAGAGCGATGAGTAACGTTCCACTTCTTCTTCTATCTGTACGTTTCCTATGATAACCACAGGCTACTACAGGGTGTTGCGTAACAATACATAAAAAATGAAGAGTTTGAGGATTATTTATGGACCCAATTATCAGATTTTAACCAAATTTATATGGGACCATCCCTGAAGTACCCCCTTTCTAACAAAAAAAAAAAAGAATCATTAAAATCGGACACCATGTTAAAGAATTATCGCTGAACATACATAAAAAAAAATATTGCGACGAATTGAGAACCTCCTCCTTTTTTTAAAGTCGGTTAAAAAGAACACCACACAATGATATTAGATAAATTAAAACAAAATCCGGTACTAAGAATGCCATCGGATAGAACGCCCATTATTCACGACTTCAGGCGGGAAAATAAGGAAAAACAAAACGAATCAATCTGGTATACAGATGGTTCGAAAATGAAAAACAGCACAGGAGCTGGGATCTACCATGTGAACTCAGGGAGGACAATTAGTTTGAACCTGGGTCACTGACGACAGTCTTCCAGGCTGAAGTAACAGCAATAAATGCTTGCACCAAAGTCATGCTTAATGACTCTCTTAGAGATAATAATACTATAATTAGAAATAATTTTTCTTGCTTCTATTTTAGTTAATAACAGTTCTACTTACATAGGCAATCGTCAGTAATTTGTTCTCCAAATATCCTGAATTTGTAGTCTTCATATTTATTTGTTAGACTGCTTTGGTATATAATCTGGATTAAATCATTATTGTCTTCAAAATTTACTGAAACTAATAAAACAAAAAACCAAATGAGTACCTAGTAACATACTTTCTTAAAAATAAGAACTCTTTAGCAATTACAAGTGAATGATTGGCAACATGGCCGAATTCAGATTTTTTCGCAGGGTTGCCATTTATCTGGATATTAAATAAGTATATGTAGGTCAGCCATTCTAGCTGGGCATCTGAGATTTGGATGCGCAGTAGCCTAAAGCTCCGCCCCGCTCGGGAGCTCAGTTTAACCCACGGGGGTTTATATCATATGCACAATACGTAAACACGTTTCTGCGCATGCAACTCCGCGCTTGGGTGCTCTGAAGTCCGTTTAACAATAGCAAAATTGTATTAAAATGTAAAGCACATTAATTAATTTAATAACATCTCGTTCAGTAACACACAAAAAGTGTTGTTTCAAAAATTTTAATTCATTTATTACAACAAACTGAAAAAACATGCCTTCACTTAGTTATTTGTACTATGTGAAGATGGCTTTCTGTCCGCTGCATGACTGCTGGCTGCCCGCTATAGCGATCCCCGCGCGCGCTGTCAACAAATAACATTAAAATCAAACAAATGTGTGGTTATGTTATGGTTTTGGTTGTCGACGAAAACATGTGAGTGGAACTACTTTTATTTATCTTTTTAGATATAAGTTATTTGTGATTATTTAAAATCAAGGAAAGGTATTTTGATGCTTTAACATGTCTTTGCCAGGTAGAATTCATTATGAACGCATAATTTCTAATTGTTATAGTACATTTTATAAGGCCCATTTCAAACGTAAATTTTAAGAACAAACATTTTTAAATTTCCTTCTGATATTGATCAAAGAAAGGAATGGTGTCGTATTTTAAACATTCCACTCATTCCACTTACAACCAATCATTATACATTATGTGAAAATCATATTTTGATACAAAATCGTTTGCAAACACAAATCGTTCAAGACTGCTAAAAGATTTGCTTTGCCTTGCTTTAGAATCCTCAAAACCAGATAAACCAAAGAGTAGTACTTAGTAATATTGTTGTCACACCTCCAAACAGAGTCCTGTAAAGATAAAGTTCAATTTAATAATATATACAAAATTAATAAATGAAGAAGAATTTGAGTCAGGCCACTAGTTATGTTGCAGGGTTTATTAAGAAACTTAATAGTTCTAACTGCAAAGAGTGTAAAGTTAATTTACAGACATGTTAGAAGACCATCGATACTTTTACTTATTTTAAAGAAAATGATGATGAAAGACGTTTTATTTATTTACAAAGAAATGTTATTGAATTTCTTTCAAAAAATCATGAAATAGTTTTACCACTTTTGGGTCATATAGACAACATAATTCAAAAAATTAATCTTTTTTTGTCAGACCATGTTGATTTTAAATGGTTTACATCAGAGGCGACTCGTGGCCTAGTCTATGAAAAGACTACTTTTAAAAGGCACACCCTATATACTTAATAAAAATATATGTTTATAAGAATACAAAAAGCAGAAATATTACATTGTATTCTAATAGAAATATATATTTTTTGTATACAGTATATAGGGTGAGCCAGCCTCCTCGCAGACTAGGCCACGAGCCGTCTCTGGTTTACATATAAAGAACATAAAACAGACGTCTTTTCTCATTTAGTTAAAACTTACTATTAATAATAAGAAAGTATTATAATGATAGTATAAGGGCTACTGCAATGTCTAAAAGACAAACAAAATGATTTGAAGTTACTGCATTTAATTTTTTTCTGTTTCAGTTTATATGGATGGTTGCTTGTGTCTTATTTCCTAAGATTCAAGAAGAATTTGTTGTTTTGTTTTTTGTTTATTTTAAAAATTTATTTACTTAGGCATTAGTTTTCATATCAAGTAAATTAATTATTTGTTGTGCAATTTCTGATTTTTGTTAGCCAAAGATAGTTAACGTACCGAAATAGTAATGTACCTAATTTTTGTGATATTAGAGTAACTTTCCTAAAGATTCATTTATAAGACGTACGGGAGCGCCATAGTAAGTAATAATAATAATAATAGACATTCTTGCTTCGCATAAGCTCGCTTGTATGGGGGTGAAGTGCATGAAAAATAATTTTTTGTATTGCCATCTCTTTGATATACTTTTTATTTATTTTTCTTGGGAATTTTTAGTAAATATAATTATATAAAACTTTGTATGATATTTATTTTATTCCCCATAATTATTTGTCAAAGAATTTTACATTTTTATTGGGCATTTCATAATAATTGTTACAAACAGCTAATAAAAAAGGAAAATTTTAATTAAAATTAAGAGGAAAATTTACTTAAGCAATTATCTTTTTCTAAACAATACGAAATAAAGCCATAAATATTTCTATAGTTTAATTTTACTTTTTAGTATATGAAAAATAATCCTTCAGGTAAAAGTGAAATGTCCGTTTTTCTTGAGCCACTATTCCGAAATTTGATTTAATTATTTTCTCAATTTTTGAAATCTTTATAAAAACAAAATTTTGCGATTTATTGCCATCAAAATTTGATTAAATTTTGAAAAAGTGGCTCTAGAGGAACATGTTTTAGCTACACGTACATGTTTTTATTTCACTAAAAATTAAAAAAATGACTACCAAAATTTTGTGTGGCTATATTTCGTATTAGTTAGAAAATAGTTGCAAAAGTAAATTCTCCTTTAAAAAAAACTCGCCAATTTTCAAATTAAATATAACATTACGGGTAACTGCATTTCCGACAGAGTAAGAGTTGATGGTAATACTGCTGGTAACTACATTACCGACAGAGTAAGATTAGTTCTACTCCTCCCCCCACAGGTCGCTGCAAGCAAACATGTTGCCAAATTTCTACAAAGAAACGGCAACTCTTAATAATCCTTCCTCCATGAGCGCGCTTGACTAAGACGGTAGATAACTCAAACACTCGCATTCTTACACATACATACAAACGTAGTTTTAACGTACACGTATTACAGCCGGTCATTCAGTGGGTACATACAAGACAATCCTTCTATTCATACGCGAATAAACAATACAACATTCATAACATTATATCAGTTCATTCGTTTATTAGTTATATATGTTAGTTTTCTTGTTCCGATAATAAAAGGTTTTTCACCATGAGCCTACGTGCTTTATTATCAATAAGCCCACCTTGTCATACTACAGGTAACATGACGTCGATGACCAAGAATTAGGCATTCCAACGACCTGTCCAAATGGCTACCAGTGGGTAATGACAGTTTAGATATGGCAATCCTGTTGTCATGTTGACATTATTAGGGTCAATGATACATATATAGTTATATAGATTGCTCAAAGCTGGTCGTTTGCGAGCGGCCATATTGCCTGGCAAATATTTATTAATTTGAATCGGTTTAGCAAAAATGTGTTTTAAAACCAATTGTCAGCCTTTAGATATTTAAAAAATAATAACTGCTTACATTTTTATATCAAGGCATAAGCTTATGTTTATTTTGAAAAATATGGATGATCAATCTAGGTAACTATCTATTTCATTGACCTTGTCAAATCACCAGGCCTACAGGGTTGCCATAATTTTGCCATATCATAACCTGTCAAAACCCACTGGTAGCCATTCAGTTTGGAATGCCTAATTACCAAAAAATGTCGTCAAAATGTCATCAGTCCGCTGCCTGGGTTGCCATAACTTCAATGTTTGTTAGGCTTATTAAAGATAGAATTAAATAATAAAACAATTACAGAGTAGATACCATTTACAAAAATGATTGTGATGCATGCTCTCTGGTTATAAAGCATTCTGTATAGTCGAATTGAGTTTAAAAATATTTCTTCACTGGATCTGCATAATACTGAAATGAAACTTCTTTGACACACCCCATAGGTATAATACTGAAAACTTAAGAAGTGGTACTCACTATTTTTAAATTTGTGAAGTGTATATCATGACTTTATAATAAATATTTTGTTTTTTTTTATTTTTTTCAAAATATTAATAATAAAAACTATTAAACCTTTGACTTCAATAAATTTTTACTGCTAGAAACAACCTTTTGAATTTCATACATTTGTTGTAAATTAAATGAAACATGTACTGCCATCTTTAAGCTGATATCTCAATTAACAACTGTAAATTACTTTGAGATGCAAAGAAATCTTACTTCCGCCATTTTTAGTCCGGAATATTGAATATATAAAGAATTCTCAAAACTAATTATTTATTAATTAATTAATTATATATTTATTGGTAGATAACAAAAACGAACATTTATATTTAATTCTTGTGTAGAATACGCTGAAAAAATAAAATGTTGTTTTATTAACTACGCATTTAAAAAAATATTTATGTTTATTTGCTGCCATCTAGCGGTTTCTTTAAAAATTTCTGGTTATTCGTAGATTGGAAGTCTTTTAACAGATGGCAGATACAAGCAGCCACATTTAAATCTATAGAATAATATAATGAATTTTAGAAATAAATTAAAGATAAATATAGGTAATAATGGGAAGTTTTGTTATTTTAACCACAATAACTAGACACGAAGATAATTAATTTACCAATGTATTGCGACAAAAGTGAAACTTGTTAAACTAGGTAGGTATTAAACCGATTAAAAAAAAAAGAACAGAGGAAAACGAACTAAGTCCAAAATTAGTAAAAATTAGATAAACACATAAAAGTTTAATACCTATACAGTATGGTTCAAATGAAAGGAATAAATTCATTATAATGGAAGTAGTTGGTTTTTCGAAAAAATGCTCTGACAGGTCAATTTTGTTTACTTAAAGCGCAATTTTTTAAATAAAATTCAATTTTCCCCCACTTTCCATTTTTGGGCAGTGACGTCATTGACAATTTTTTTAAATAGCAACCCCAATTTTTTTCTCTTGATTTTGATAGATCTTGCAATTTCCTACTCGGAAACAGGTAATATTTGAAATATCTGACATAACAATTTTTTTTGAAAAAAAGTCATTTAAAGATCAGATACATAAATTTTATGTTATTTTGAAACACAATAAATTAATGAAAGATAATTATTTGT